CCGGCCCGCGGGCGGGGGCGGGGCGCGGGGAGGCGGGGCGAGGCGGCATGGAGCTGGCCGTCAGGGAGCGGCTCTCGGCAGCAGAGAGCCGCCGAGGTAAGAGGGCGTGGGGGGCTGCGAGGCTTTGCCAGTCATTAAAAACAGGTAAAATGAAAGTCACGCTTGGAACGCGAAAACTGCTTGATCTTCATCTGTTTTGTTTCTAGATATGTAGAAAACGTGTTCTTTCTCTGAATGCTTTAAATGTGCTTCGTAGCTGTGAATAGAAGTGGCTGCACTGGTGTTCTTAATTTAATCTAGTTTTCTTCCAGTGAAGTTTACTTCATGTAAAAGCTTTAAGGACTGGATCTCGAATTCCTGTCTCAACAGAAAGAGTACTGTTGATTTCGGGGAACTGTGGATCAGGCCTTCGCAGTAATTCACTTGTGTGCTAACATTAGTGATTTTAAATTGCGAGAGAGTTGTTAGTGTTTCATCCTACAACTGTGGCTGACTTTGAACAACATTTGTTGGACGTTATTTTCCTTAAACGTGCATAATTTATTTCTGTAAAGCACAAACAGGATGCTGTATAGTTGATTTGAAATAATGCAATCATGTCTGTCAGTCCACCTTGAAGCACAAATCGTCTGTTACATTCTTTATTCCTTTTTTATTTCAGATGTTCAGGCTTTGAAGAATGCTTATGAGTTGATCAAATCAGCCAGTCAAGGAAAATCTGCACTCGATTCATCAGATAACTTCAGCACCGACTTGTATGTTTTATGTGCTGAACAAGCATTTCAGGTTTGTAATTTAGGCAGTTTATCTGTATTGAATAAAAACGTTTATATGACATATTGTATTTACAGTTGTTGAAGTTACTACTTAAAAATATTCCCAGAAGTACCTGTGAAAAATATTACACTCTTCTGTTTTTGGAGAGCAATTGTTTAAACATACATTTTCAGTTACGACTTGGCCTCTAAATTATAATTTATAGTCAGTCAGCAAACTGTGGTTTGTGAAGTTTGTAATTAGACCAAAATATGCAAGGTATACCATAGTAATATAAAATAGTTTGCCATGCCTGTTTTTTCTTGTTACGGAAAACTAACGTTAGCAATTTGGTTATGACTGAAGAACATGTGTTTGTGAACAGTCCCTACTGGGCAAAAGAAGAAAAGGTGACATTCTAATTATGAAAGATTGTTGCTAATTGAGATGTCTTCTATAAAATATGGTAGAGGTTCTTAATTTTGAAGTATTTTTAAATTTTCAATCCATGGGTACAAGTGATTGGATTTCAAGCAGACAGAGTTTCTAATAACACAATTTTTTTTTTCCAAGCTGCAAGCCACTCAAATTCTGTTTTCTGAAAATTAATGTTCAGCACTGACACCCATACAAAATCCTGTGGGCTAATGTCCGTCCTTTTAAAAAAAAATTCTGCTAAGAATTTTGCCTTTATGTTAACAATTCTGTTAATGCCTTTTAAAAGAGGAAACATTTTTTGTATACTGTAAGGGGTTCTATGACTGAGTGACTAAGGAGCTTTGTTAAATAAAGGAGCTATTTTTCTACACGTTTGGAATAACAAAAGTCTTGCTTTAAATTTTAATAAATCTTAATGGGTTTGTACCAGATCTGATATGCAGCTTTGTGGAATATTCTTTGCATACTGATATGCAGTTAGATGTTACACTTTGAGCAGGCGTGCATTTTTAAAAACTAACAATTGTTAATTAAGTATTTGTTGCATTTTTTAAATATTAAAAATTTTTTTTTTTACTCTTAGCTGGGATATCTGGAAATGAGCAGTGACTGCCTACAGATGTATTTTAAAGGAAGATTTCCTGTGAACCAGTTTCTTGGCAGAGCATATTTGTGCCAAGGCCAGTTGCACACTCCGCTCTCTACAGATAATTTGGTGAGAAATTATGAAGGTTGCATTATATTAAGCCAGTTTTTAAGAGTATTTCTTCCTAGGTTTTTATGTATTTCTTTCAGTCATTTAAAATACACAAGGGTAATCAGGACTATGGAAAAACCAAAGGAAAATATATCAGTGGGTAGTTTGGGAGTAAACAAAACTTACCAGCTGAATTAGACTAATATTGCAAATACTTTGAGGAGGGAAAAAAAAAAAGAATGCTTGAAAAATTTTTCGGAGGGTCGATTGTTTTAAAGTCAACCTTTTCACTTTTTAGATCAATATGATACTTTCAGACCAAATTTAACTGTAACTGGTAAAAGAGTTACCAGTTTTATTCAGGATCACACTAAGCATTTCACAGAATCGTGGGAAATGGAAGACTGAAGGGGCCCTCAGAGAGGTTGTACAGTTCATTTCTCTTTTGTGGCAATGTGCTTCCACCACTAATCAGTAACCTTTCCATGTAGTACTTCGGATGTGGCTTTTTGAAATGAGAGATGAAGCTTTCTGGTAGCGACTCAGCAGGATACTTCTGCTTCTAAAAGCTTCTGCGTGTTACTGCTCGGTGACACCGTGTCCGTACCTGATGAGTAGTTTTTACCTCCTGCTG